ATATATGTATATCAATGTTATAATTTTAGCCTGTATTTCTATAAGCTCACTACATGTTTATATTTAGGGTGTATTTCACAATTGGAAGTTTAAAATTTTTGAAGTTTAGTAGCTAAAAGATTTTGTATTTGGATTTGTAAAATATTAACTTGTTTGATATTCGAGAGGACAATGAAAATAAACATGGAGCTTCTAAAGTTTTAGTATTTCAATCTTGAAAGCATGTCAAGTATTTCATTTTTTCACTTTCATATGCTAAAAACTTGGTTATCAATATTCTCACCCACACACAATTGTAAGTAATCATCATCTTCATCATCATTATATCATTTTTCCAATTAAATGGGGTTAGCTACAAGAATTCTGGTTATCCATTCCATTCTATTAAAATGTCATATCATCAGTGAGGCCACAAGTCCCCATATCTTTTTGGACTACTTCCAACCACATTCTTTTGGGTCTACCCCTTGCTCTGTTTAGTCCTTCTACTTGAATTAGCTCGCACCTCATAACTTGGTCGACGCCATATATAGCCAGCCCACATAAGTATACTCTCTCTTATTTTATGTCCATTGGGGCTACGCTTAAATTCTTTTGAATATATTCATTTCAAATTTCATCCATTATTGTCTTTCCACTCATCCATCTCAACATCCTCATATCCGCTATACTCATTCTATGATTATATTGTTCTTTGTCCCCCAACATTTCACCCCATAGAGCAAAGATAGTCTCACCACTATCCTATAGAGCTTTCCCTTCAACTTCATTACTATGCGTTCATTACATAAAATTCCAATTGTACATCTCCACTTCGTCCAACTAGATCTAATTATGTGTGTGATATCTTTTTTTTATCTTCTCCATTATTCTAGAGATATCGAAAGTGTGATCTTTTTTGTACTTCCTGGCCATCAATTTTAACTACTTCCTCGTCTATATTCCTATTATTACTAAACTTGCACTCAATATACTATGTCTTAGTTTGACTAATTTTAAAACCTTTGAATTCTAGAGTATCCCTCCAAAGTTCTAATTTTGTAAGTAATATAGTGAAAATAAACCAAATAATAAAAGAAAATTTATCAAATAAAAATGTTCAGATTTAAAAATGCTCTTAGACACAGAAACAGGAACCCTAGAAGTTGGATCCCATAGGGATTTGTATACTTAACCAGCTATAAATAAATAATAGATAATAGAAACCATAATATGAGAAATAAAGCATAAAGCACACACACCACGATAACATAAAGATTTAAGTGGTTTATCTAAATAATAGATCAACATGCATGGCAAATTGAAACCCATTATATAGTGACACAAAATTGGGATGCATAGTTACCTCTTTGACTCTCGACAAAACCTAGTCGAGTAATCCTTTTAGACCACTCTCCTGGTCAACATCACTCATTGATATCTTATCTTTATTCCACAACTAATATTTGAGAAAATTACCTTAAAAGCAATCGATACTCTCTCACTAAAAGGAGAACTACCCAAAATATATATCAGAACTGCTTTTTTAAAAGAAACCAACCTCTCTCTATAAGACGCACCATCACAATATTTCTCACCATAGGAATCTCACGTCTCTCTGTGTAGAGGCCTTATCTCTTATGTAGAGGAGTCCCATGCCTCTCTCTAGAGGAAGCCACATTTCCCATATAGTGACCTATTCTCTCTCATTTCTTACATACAAGGTTATGAATCACATAATAAATAAGAATCTCATACATGTCACATAAATCTCAAACATAAAATATAGCCGCTGGTCATATATCTTGTTGGACTTTAATGGATATCCCAACTAAATTAGGAAATCCATCAATATCAATGTTAATTTCATGTTATGGGGATGGTTTTGGATATCATCATATCAAATAGTCTCCCCCTTGATACCAAAATCACTTGCTTACCATTCCAACATCCATAAGAAAGCTTTATAGATTATTCCCTTTTTGCCA